TGTCGAAAATGTTTGCTGTATGCGTTCCATTTGATAAACGACGTGTAAATTAGCTCTTCAGTCTTCAGTCAGGCAAAAAAGCTCCACAGGCCGTCCATAAGAGTCGAAAAACTCAACTGACGTCGGTTCGCTTTGATAAAATGCCCACCAGTGTTCACCAGGTCCGGTGTAAACTTCTGTATTGACAATGTATGCGTCTGGTAAATTGTAAGTTCGTTTAGGCAGCGCATCACGGGCGTAAATCATTTGAAACATTTTTCCTGTTTCCGAATTCTCACAAAGAAGTTTGGTTGTCAGATTATCCATTTTAATTTGTAAAATCACAAATTAATTGGCGGAAATTGCTAATTTTTGTCACCGCGTCAAACTTAAGGAGTGTAATTATGATGGTAGGCTGTCTCAGCGGCTCAATGCAGACTGAATGAATACCCAGATTCCATTTACGAATCAAGCTTAGTGGCTCAAGCCCAGTTCCCCCAGGATTTAGGTCAAAACCATAAATAAAGAATCCTTTTGTGTATTCGTCTCGAATAAGCGCCACCGCATCGAAGGAAAGTTTTGGGAGATTGCCTTCTCACGACTTTTGCGTTGCCTTAACGCAAACCTTAATTTTACCACCAACCTTGAAAAAGCAGACAATGGTAAATGTCCGAAAATATCATCACGGAGATTAAGTGTGCGGGAAATTAAACCATTTTTCGCTTTCCAGAATTTTTTGGAAAACGTCCGTAGTGAGACTTTCTCCTGGTAAAGACGTACTACCAAGATTAAGGTGAACGCTTTTCTTTTGGCAAGGTCTGTGAGCCATTATAAAAAACGCCGATGGGGAGACTGAATGGGCCATTCCTTCCATTCGTAACAAATCGCACCGCAAGTTTTCTGAGCGTCTCGTTGCTTTTGCATGTGTAGAGATGATCTTCTTTTACGGCGCTTTTGCTGTGATTTTTTAGTTCTAAATCCTGGATTTTAACGCTTAGCAACGATCGTTCAGTTTCAGGACTTCAATCACGATCAAGGGATTTGCCGGCAGAAATTTAATTACCAATTTTTGGCGAAGGGGAAAGTGGTAGGACGCTGCATAGGATCTTTGTAGGCAAACATTTCATAGTATCCACGCCAACTTGCTTTTTTATGGAGTAAGTTAAAAAATCGTTTTACAACTAACCGGCAAAATAGCAACTACCGGTGCCGACATAGATTGCTAATAAGAAAAATAGTGAAACGTAATATTACAATTATTTTAGCATGCTTACTTACAATATAAGCAATCTTTTCAGCAGCATCCGCGGTACTGACAATTAGACATGCGGCGTTAAACCATGAATCTCCGTTAGAAGTGAATTCCTGCTACAAGATGCCTCTCCGGAATGACAAGACGTCTCCACAGAATTTCGGCAAACATTTGTTGTAGCCCAACATCATCCAATGCTTCAGTTACTCTACATGTACCGTACACTGTTCCCCTCAAAAGATAAGAAAGCTGGAAGAACCAGAAAAATTAAGCACGTCATCGACACCAGATCAAACCCTCCTGTACATCAAGCCGTACGACGCCATTCCCCTTGGCAACGCGAATTCATCAACAAACAAGTATAAAAGCTGACGGAAAAAAAAATAAAAATAACCCCCTGCAATTCCGAAAGGGCGTACAATATAGTCTTAGTCGGGGGGAGGGGGTTCAAATTCTTTGTTCTCGGTATAGGGAATCGATAGAAAATCCAGTCGAGCTGCTTTTCCTTGCAATTTCGGCCGGTTCTTCTACATCTTCCATTCCAACTGCTTTAAGCTATTTCTTTGCTTTCGTTTTTCCGAACACGTAATTATTATAGTCTTTTTTTATTGGTTTACAGCTGGTTAGATTTCGATAGCTGTGAAGCCCGATTTTTGTCACAAATCCACCCGCATAATCTGCGAAAAACGGACCTGTGAACGCCGGCGTACATTGGAACTCTGACATGGTTAAGGTTCTAGCTGAGATGAGTTTCCACAGTGATAGAGCCACAGTTAAGGTGGAGACCGAAGACCCAGTTGTCATGGAGGCATGCAACGGTATTTACCGAGCAGGGCGGTATGCATACGGAGGAACCGGGTACGCAAGGCAGCTTTCCGGAGAGCCAGGCCAGCTTTTTGGCTGAGGTAAATGCTTAGACTGACGCTGATTATACCGGAATCAACAGCTTGGCTCCAATTGCAACGCATATCGGTCATCCGAATTTTGTGGACGGGGATTTCACGGTGGATCTGACAACAATTTCAACGCTGTATGAATTTTCCTTTACAGCCGAACGCCTTCGGAGTTCTGCAAAGTGTATTCAGCAGTGTGAAATCGCTTCCAAACAGGTGCAAAAAAATTATACTTAGGCAGACGGTAAACGATTGGATGGGCCTATGGAAAATTGTATCGTCGCCGTTACAGCACTCAACAAAACAGGCTTCGAAAGACCAGTTTCTGCGAAATTTTTGAATGTTTTTTTTGTGTCCATCTACTGTATCATATTGCTCGGATATATTTGCCGTTAGGCTGCATTTATCTCCATATCCAGCGCTGCCATGGACCATAAACCAGCGCACATTTAAAATTTCATCACCGTAACCCCGCGAGGCTCTTCCTGTTCTCCCAGTTTCCGTCTGCACAACGAGGCTTATGAATGCCTTATGCTACGATTTTTTTTTGATGGATCATTTATTAGATACAATTTCGGTAATTGCTAAGATGACGACAATTGTTCGTATTCGCTTGCGCACCCAGCCCTGGACCGTGCCTTCTGGCCACCCCTTATGCCGCGGTCGCAAACGACAACGGAACGTCTCATGCTTGAAGTGAGTAGCCGGCTACAGAATGCAAATAATTCTTGCTCAGATGAAAGCTTCGAAATATTACGGCAGCATTCCGGATTGGTTAATATGGGAATGTGCTTGATAACGGAAAAAATTTCGAATTTATTAAAACAGATTGAAAAGAAGTGTTGCGTTGTTCCTAGTCGCAATCATGGCCGGCTCTGCACGGTACGCGCGCTCTGCGTTTTCAAAGCATTAGCAGACAAAAAAATTACATTATATAATCACTTACGTAATGCGCGCACACGGCGGGGAACAATGACGCCCAAACAAATACGCGCGCAAGTTGATTCAAAAGGCTGGGCTTCCAGAATGCATACGCCATCAGCGATCTGACAGAATTACCAGCCACTTTGCCTGGGTACGCTATCACTGTGGTCGGCGTTGAACAGCTCAATAGTATCGTTTATACGTTTATACTTCCAGCTATGAGGCAGGGATCAAGCTGTTAGGATAATTGCATCATGATCAGCATTTTCAAGTGCTCGCGAGCTTACCGGCGTGGTATTCAAAAAGTTACTGATGCCTCTTATGCATATGCGTTGTGAGAAGCGGCACAAACATCGGTGTGAGTATACTTGCCAACTTTGATTATGTCAGTGTGGTAGCTTGCCCCATACCTATGAACACTATCCACCATATCTACTTGGTGGAAAGAGAAGAAGCAGCACTGGGTCTGGACTCTTGTTCACACATCTCTCTAATCTGCACATAAACACCGAGCCGCGTTGGTTTTATACCAACGCAGACTCCATCGTATAACATGAGCTCTATGGCATTTCTGCCATAGGGCACAAAACAGGAACACAGCCGTAAGGCTACACAATACTAACAAACACAATAGTTATATCACATTGTGAGTAGTCAGCATGACAATGCTGACTACTACACTACCCTTCTTTGAGGAAAAGAAACAGACATAGAAAACAATAAAACCAAGTAGAAAATAGAGGACTAAAGAAACTAAATGAAAGGAAAATACTTACATGCATTAACAAAGGCTTTTCGAATTTCAGAAAGAAGTAAGATTCAAGTGATTATAGTTGCATAAATATAAATGAAGTCGACGCTGTAGTGGAAGTTGTAGTGGTCGTCGTTGTAGTTGACTTTAAAAGCGTTACTGCTGACTTATTGATTTCGGTGGTAAATATGGCTGCACTGTCGCAATCATAGTTGCGAGGTGGAAGGACAGTGAGACTGTCGCCGGAGATGTTGGTAATCCCGAATTGTGGTAATGTTAGTAATTCAGTCGTTGCTTTAGTTAATATGAGTAGCTGTACAGTTGCCGGGATAACAACGGTGTCACATATTAACCTTGTCCATGTTGACGGAGCTGAAGTGTACGAGTGAGGAGCCAGGCATCTCTCTTTTTTCCTAAGAATTCCACTGCGAATTCCCAAGCGAACTCCTTTGGAGTAATTCCGCTTCCAAGCGGGCGTGCAGAAGCATTACGGGAGGTCTGCTGTTGAACTGGCGGGCGCCATTTTTCTAGTAAATATAGTCGAACGATGTCATTAGGTGCGTATTGCACGCGGTAGGATGGGCGTCTGTAAATCTGCGGTGGCGGGAAGATAATCATGTCACCAACAGCAGGTGTGTACGCGACGCATGCGTTAGGAGAAAGTGCCAATTGGAATTGCTTCGTAAATCCGAATCTCAATAACTATTTGGTCAGTTGGTCTTGCTTTAAATTCTGTGCAAACATGGATAACGGGCAAACAGATACTTTAATGAATCCAACAAACTCCGCAGAACGACAAGAAAGACCGGTTTGAGAACTGATGAATTCGAGCCAACAACTGGAAATCAAAATGCCAAGTGTATCTGGGCATTCAAAACAAAAATTATAAAAAACCTGGTATTATAACAGGCAAGGTACCAAGAAATCTCTCGTATATCCTGCATGCTTGAAAATTTAACGCTGGATTAACCGGACGCTTGCAGTCGTAACATAAGCTTTGGTAAACAAAGCGGTCTTCTTTCGAAAAATATACGTTCTAAGAGGTTGATTGGTGGATGATCACAGAAAGAGAAACAGGTAATTAATGGACAGAGAAAACGACAACAGCTTTCAATCAGTAACTATAATTTTAATCCTTGTGAAGCGATCATATTTGTCCATTCTCTATAATTTTTACTTTTTGCCCGTCCGGTGACAGGGCGACAGTTCCATCCGCTACGAGAGAATACTGTGTGATACCTATGATCTTTGAGATTTCCATGAGATCGAGATACTTGTTTGGACAATATTCAATGTTAACAAATTACGAGCCGATTGGCCCGATTCTAGGTAACGAAACCAGCTGGTTATCTGCATGACGTGAAAGTGTTGTTGAGCTGAGGCAGTCCGCCCTCCGGCCGACTACGCCAACCTTTTTAAAATAATTATTCTAGAACGGTTCTTTACTGATGCCATTTTTTTACAAAAAATGGAACTTTGACTTGTCGTCCAGCTGTGTTGCAAACCCGACGGTCGCTGGCAGGGGTCCTACGATCTGTCATAGAGGTTTGATGCGTGAAAACAGAATTCCCGAAGAAGAAGCTGAGCCATCAGCCACCTAACGCAACCAGGCAGTCCTTGCTGTTTCTTATACGTGCGCTTGTGGACACACTGCAATCTTAGAAGATGTTCATAAAGGAAACTCCGATTACTTTGAAAAAAAAACAGTGAATGCAGTCAGTAAGGCACTTTGCTGTACAGCACCAACCAGTACCGCAAACGGCTGCAGGTGTCACCCTGGTTCTAGCCCTTACGCTTTTCTACTTTGCTTCGTAGGTTTTTATATCTCCCATTCGCTGCCTGCAGCAAATACACGTTAGTGATTTCTAGTGATTGCTTGGCGCTAAACAAACTTGCCGCTTACGCTAACTCGTTGTTTTCCTTGATTTTTGAATGAGTTGAGAACGCAGTTAATTCAGCTGAACCTAATTCTTCTTGCTCTGGGTTTCCACCGGTGTTGAAATATTTTACGCCAAACACTCGCGGACTCGAACGCGCTCCGCTTTCTCATTATGCACCACATAAATTTTCCGGGCTTCTTCTCCGTTCCATTCGTCCTCACAAATCGCACTGCCAGGTGTACCGCAACGGCAAGATCACAGTTAATGGTGCAAAGTCCATCAGTGACGCTCTCGCGTTATTGGATCACTATTACCGGAAACTGCAAAAATATGGCTATCAAAAAGCATCGTTAAAGAATCCACGAATTGTTAACATTGTCGCCACTTTTAATTTTGGGAAATTTCTTAGTTTAGAGAAATTGTACAACTCAATAAGAGCAAAAGCTGATGCCATGTTTGAACCTGAAATATTTCCGGCCATGCGAGTCCGGCTTCAAGGTTGTACGGCGATGATTTTCCATTCTGGAAAAATTAATTTATTAGGTGCAAAAGATGCTAATACTCTTCAAACTGCTGAAAACGAGTTGCGCTTGTTATTAGGAAACCAAATGCAGCAATAAATAAAATTACAAAAAAGCTATCGTTACATGTTTCTATTACTTGGCATTAAAAAGCAGTAGTGCTTAATTTAGTAAGAAATGTAAAGAACGTTTATCCTTAAAAGTACATGGTACATACTACATACACAGTGCAATACTGTACAGTATTGCACTGTACAGTATATACAGTGCAATACGGTACAGTACATTAATCATTAATTATGATAATTAGGGTTCATTACGAAATGTATTTTTTGTTATAAAAGCATTGAGCTAACATACAAGCATATAATAATAATTTCTGTAATGTGAAAACTGCGAAATCAGCAAATTACGCCATACCGTTGATAAGGTGGAAAAATTTTTTGAGAGGTCCAGGCCAACTTTTTTCACTCGAGCCCTCGTTGCTTGTAGCAACCCCGAAACTATGTACACATAAAAAATATACCATGTGTTACAACACAATATGAACTAAAAACATTAGCTTCACTTGCTTCGTGTACAAGAAATTCATAAATTCTGCAGTTAGCGGAGTAATCGCTAATAAAAATGCACCTTTAGTTCCAGTGGAAAAAAATTTGCGGCGACCCTGGCGGACTTTTTCCAGTTGATCTGCACGCGCGCATAAGCATGCACGCAATAGACCATAAGACTGCAAATAACTGTCAAAATTGATTACACAGTACAGTCATAATGTACAGTGATAAAGAAAATAATATTCCATCGTAGCTGTTAGTTTTTATGATTATTTATGAATAAATAAGCTGAGAATAGAGGAACTAGTAATGTCCACTAAAAAGCAATTATATTTTACTTACTGTACGTTGAAAGGCTTTGACGAGCCTGATGCGTTAAAGTGCTCCTCCATAGTGTAAAAGAATGCAAACAACTTGTTGAATCAAACAGTGAAAGTGAACCAATATAACTGTGCAGTGTACAGTAGTATCCATACAGTACACTGGGCACATGTCGAGTTTCACAGTTATATCCAAGTCGTGCACAATCCAGATGAGCAATTAAACTACTCGGTAAGTTGGCAAATAATTATGTATATTACAAGTGCACAGCATTACTACAAGTGTTTTCAATAATTAAGAGACGCGCATGGTGTGTAGCACCATAGCTGACGAGCCAGCTGCGCTAATGTGCCAGTGCCGCTCCATGCGGTAAAAGAATGTAAACAACCACTTGCACGCGTGCAACACGGCTGCACAGGTAGCTGCATCTGGGCTGCGAGCCTCCTTGAGGTTTGCACAGCATGTGTATCAGTGATACACTGGCTGGCTATCGCTGACGAGCCAGCTGAGCTAATGTGCTAGTGCCGCTCCATGCGGTAAAAGAATGTAAACAACTTGTGTGTGTGTGTGAATATCAGTAAGTGAGTAAATTAGGTAGTGTACTTCTATACAGTGTACATATGCAGTAATCATATGCTGCAGTTGTGCTGAATCATATGCTGCAGTTGGGAGCTGCAAGTACAATGTACAACCGGGGAATTGTAACTAGAAAGTCCAGCTCCCAACTCCAGTTTATGACGTAACCGACGGCCATTTTTAATAATTGATGAGTCATATCTACTTATGTAGTATCGGATTACTACTGAGTAGGGATCCATTTTTGTGACACAGTTACCCAACCTACCTTAATCCGGTGTAGCATCGCTGTTGTATTCAAAATGGCGAATATCGGATTTTGCTGTTTTGTTAAGCAGTTTTATAAACGGGCTCGGTACCTCTGTTTGCAGTGATGTTAATTGCTGTTGGATTGTTCTCTTAGACAATTTATATATTTAAATGGCAAACTGTCCGGTAGTCCTAATACTGTATATGTATGGATTATGGATACTTCGATAAACCTCTTATTCCGGCACCTTTTTAACTTTTTCAGTATATCCCGGCATCAGCCTCGTTGAAATTACTTTATGAAGAACCGCCATGGTCCGCTTTGCATCCGTACGTACCGAGGCTACGCCGCCCAACAGAACAGAAAGCAGTTGAATCGAATGTAGCTGATAAAAACGCAGTCGACGACCATGGCGGTTGTTCGCACAGCATCTTCGACTAGCCGGATGCCGGGATATAGTAAGAAGTTAAAAGGGTGCCGGAATAAGAGGTTTATCGAAGTGTTTCGATATAAAATATGTGGGTGACTAAGTGTGTTATTTAACACTTCTTTACACATGAAATCGCTCCTCATCCTGATCGAATAAACATTCATGCACAGAATCATAAAAGCATATATAGCAACAGAAGTTTAACACCGAAATCGAATAACCGAGTGCAACTAATGAGCGTGACGAATTAGCTTCCGTTACTAGTTATTTACCATCCCTAGACGGCCCCAAAACCTGTTCAACATAGCTTGGACAGAGACCGCAGACTAGAATTTTCCGTTGTCTTATCAAATTCCAATTTGACACCTTCCCGCTGGTGAAAATTTTCGTTGTACTGTCGCTTGTGCGTTTCCGTAAAAGTACCGGCAGGCCATCCACTCGCTTCTGTTTTGGTTTCCATAAATTTTTCCACGTATTCAAGAAATCATCAGAGCTGTCGTAAGGCCAAACTTCATATATACGCGTAACAATGTATCAGCGGTCAATTGCTGCGAGCAGTTCCGGGGTGCACCTCGTCCCTTTCAGCTCTCGTTGCCGGTCAGTGTTCTCGCGTTTTTCCATTGTTTGCCGATAACACAGGTCGCACATAAAGGAAAGGTCAGTTTCCCATTACTTTGACAGGGTAATATTGGTAGCGACAAATCTCCAGGTGGTAATACGGTGCAGTGTACCCAGTTAAAGTAGTCGGCAGTGCAACTTTGGACACAAGTTCAGTTTAAAATTTCAAAGCCGTTGCAAGTTTTGAATCTTATCTTGACGTGGATTCTCGTGCAACTTCTACGCCGAAAACAGGATTTCCAAACGATATCGATGTGAACGACCTTAACCTACTGTAAGCGCTATTTTCGACAATACTTTTTGTCAGCTATGGCCGAAGAGGCATAACTGGAAATTACCAACGCCGAAGTAGAAGCTGATACGTACATTCTACATTTGAATAAAGTAAACGAAAAACTGATGTCGCTTATCTAGTAGCTATGGCCAACAGTAACGATGCACTTGCGCAATTTTGTGGAAGCAGTGATCCAGCGCCTTCGACAAGCAATTCTGCGGCCACTAAATTTTTCTGCTAAAAATTCATTCACATGTTAAGTACTGTAGTACTTTTAAAGAGTGAGTACACCCAACCCGAGGGAAAAGCGGATGACAGCGATGTCATCGTCGTGAATGATCCGGCCTCAGAGCATTCCAACGGTCGAATTTCAGTTAACGGTCGTAAGTAACTGACTCACCATTATTATTGTAGTAAGTTAACTGACTGTTTTATATAAATAAGTACAATATCGGCATTTAGAAACGAAGCAGAATTTGACGCCATTTTTTGACGCCATGTATGACCTGCATTTATGTATCAGCGCAATCGGAAAATCTTGATCAAGCCGCAACCGGCGACTAAGATGATGATATTGTCACCGTTTCATCATCTCAGAACAAGAAAAAGAAGCCGCTTGTGCAAACGCATCTCGCCCCACCAGGTAACCAGAAGCAAGCACCACCATCACGGTACAGGAAGCGGAAAGCGATCTATAAGCGCTTCGCAAACATGCCTGCATCGCCTATACAGTACGGAGCTGGACGTGTTAAAGTAGTATTTAGCGCTCCCACAGCTCCACGGCCGTGGACGCCTGTGGCTATATCCGCCGGTTATTGCGGGACCGCGCACCAGCACTTCCCATATGGAACTAGGAGCTTCCTGTGCCGACACGACAGTTAGTCCTAACATCCCACTCAACCTGGTTCGTCCATGGGGATTTCCCGGGTACATCCACGTCATGCTACGATATCACCTTGGTATGCCATGTTTGGATAGCCGTTTCCGAACTGGTAGGATCCGAATGCGTATCAACGAGAGAACGATATGATGATGAATACATATATGCAAGGTTTCGGTATCAAAACGGAAACGACTATAATGGGCATGGCTTTGGTATCAACGGGAATGAATATAACGGGCACGGAAGAGGTGTTAATGAAAATTATGTTAATATTGTAACAAAGATAATAATAATAATAGATCGCAGTAAGTTTCGACAATTTGCTGTGATCTAACTAAGCGTCGCTGTTATTATCTTCAGTACCATTATCTAGCGGTTAAAGATAGCCGCAGCAGTTTATATTTAGGCTGGTAACGCTATTAACTTTCTCCTGGAGAAAGTTAATAGCGTTACCAGCCTAAATATAGTTTCGACTTTGATATTATCATCTCCAAACGTCTAAGTTCAACCATGTAAAATCAAAACTTTCCTTCTCCAGGGCCAGAAGAACCACATATCCAAAACAGAGCAAATCAGCATCGGTTTTCTGTTGCAAGTGGAGTCGGGTATAGTGTCGGAAATTGGGTTAATTTATCTATGCCTTCTCCCTTCTCTATCCAAGATCCTGAACATTTTTCTAACGAATGGCTATTTGACGAAGTTAGTGGCTTAAACGGAACATCATTCAATGACCACGATATTCCTCCACCAGTAGATGTGCCTCTATCACCACGATGTGACCCTACTATTTTAATTCCACTGTCAGACAGCGCTTGCAGCAGAAAACACCACGAAAAGTGGATACCTGCAAAAAAAGAATTTTCCCTAGATCTGGGCAATGATATGACAGCAATCGTCAGCATGCGTTTACTGCTTTCCTATATAACAAAGTACGTAACAAAGCCTGGAAAGGAATCCGATAGCTTCAGCGAAAATCTCAAAAAATATCTGTTGAATACGACCGAACAGGATAAAGTAACAAAACCAATAAAACATTTGCTTATGGCGTTATTTGGAGAGATATGTATCACCACAAGAAGTTGCAGTTCTAACGATGAGCTGGCCTCGTGTTGAAAAATCTCGAACGATTCTGTTGTTGAACCTATACGAAAATGGCACTGGCAAGGAAATTTTACACGGAAAAGAAAATCAGAAGAAATTAATGAACTCAACATTTTGACCAGCCACCGTCAAAAACCGGATTCCACATCATTTCCAAACATACATCATAAAGATTTTCCCTCCCAATTCACACAGAGCGCTCATAAAACAAAAACAGAGTTGAATCAGCGACCTAGGCAAACGCCGAATCGATTTGGATGAGGATTGGGCAGGGCTTTACGCGCTTTGTCACTTAAGCCGCCTATGACGAAGTTCTTAGACAACGCCAAAACGCAACATCTGGTAAAATTAAGCGATATAACATTCGACTATAAACAGTTTAGCTGTGAACAAAAAGCGGCAGCGGATCTTTTAGCTTTTCATCTTTCTCGCCGCAAAAGTGGAGCTCCGGTTAAATCGCAACAACTTATCATAAACGGAACCGCAGGTTAGTGTGGTAAATGTTTTGTAACTGACTTATTTAACCGTCGGTTTTCAAAGTAACCGGGAAATCGTAATTAATCAGATGGATCATTAACCAGACCAAAATTTGCGATCAAGACGTTTCACCCAAATCAGTCCTCCGCGCTCCTTCTGGAGTCGCTGCATTTTTAATAGGAGGTCAGACCATTCAATCAATGTTTTTCGTACCACCTTGCCGCGGAGATAAGCCGCTAAAAATTTCGCTGGCGATGCTTTAAGAAGCTTTCAAGAGTCAGTGTCCAATACGGAATACCTCATTCTCCATGAGTATGAAATGATCGGATGCCTGATGTTTGCGTTCTTAATAAAAGAAGCCGCAAAGCCCGTCCGGAAAATTCGGTTTGGACATTTGGAGGCCTGTCTGTTATTTTGGTGGGGGACCACGGACAGCTAGGTTTTTCATTCGTATACAAAAATTGTGCCTGCTCACGAATGTTAGTCAATGCAAAGAAACGTGCTGTGCAACGGATTGCCAATGAAACAAGAAGGAAAGGTGTGGAGATTTGACCAAGAGCCAACCAGTGAAGGAACGTGGATGAGAGAAGTGTC